GTTTTGACACACACACACACACACACACACACACACACACACACACAACAAACAGACGCAGTACACACACACACACACACACACACACACACACACACACACACAAACAGACGCTAGCGTGGGGAACTACACTGGCAGCACACCACTGACGCAGGGGCGGGGGGGGGGGGAGGCAACTAGTCCATAGAAATAAAAAAAAAATGAATATAGCCAATACATGTTCTTAGCTAAGATCACTTTTTAAATTAACTAGAGCTTACTGGGTACGTTCTCTTTTCAAGTTGTGAGTAGAGGTATTACATGTAATGTGATCGTTTTAAAGTGATCAGGCATGACCATAGAATATCAACCCTCTAAGCTATTTGAGTTAAAAAAAAACATAAAAAGACATTCAAATATTTCTGAGCCTCTTCAAACAGGGGTGGCTTTCTACAGGTTACTAGACATTTTAAATAACACACATAGTGAGCGGAATTACTCTCAAACAAATTTTTGATTGCGCACAGGCCCGTAGACAGAAATTTAAAGAACGGGGAATTTTTTTTTTTTGAAAAAGTGGACTTTTTACTATGAAACCTTCATGTACCTACATAAAATTTTACCCAGAGGGGACCTTTTCCCAGCAAAAAGGGGGTTCGTTTGAACCCCCACCCTACCCCACCCCACCCCCAGGGCTACGGGCCTGGCGTATTGACTCAAGATTTTGCAAAGATTAATTCATAAAAGTTTCTGTAAAGGTGAATTTTCAACAGCCTTAAAATATAAGCTCGAGAACTTAAAGGATAACAACTGTTCGTATGAGATTCATATTTCACGAGAAATATACATTGTAAATATAGAAAATATCACAAATTCTATTTTACCACCAAAGCAGGGCTACATTGCATTTATTCTGGAAAATGTGCTGGACATAAGACCATGTGAAATTCATGCTTGTAGATGGCTATACACTCTGAAGATTATTACAAAAAATAAAAATACATAAAAAAGTAGAGTACTTTAAACGTCGGGATGTATTCATTCATCATTGGTTAGTATGGGAAATTGTCGTTTACCCCAGAAAAATCCATTTTTAACCAAAACGAACAGATGTTATCCTTTTCAACTTCGATTGATTACGTACCGGTCAACTACCAGTACTTATGTAACCCGGTTGGTTACTTAATTCTGAGCGAGTAGCAAACTTGAAAACACCGAAGACATCAATGGTAGCTCATGAAGATCTTTATTTGCTGACGGGCTACAATCTGGCACTCAGGCAGGGACAGTCACGACGATCTCCCGGGGTCTCTCTCTCACTAACTGAGAAGCCCTCATTTTATAGGGAATCGTTGTAAGTCCTGCGTGCCCAATAACTATTACTAAATGTGTGTAATTTATAGAATTAATAAAAGAACTAAATGTAACATACGTGGTTAATAGGAAGTATGATAAAACTAAATGCAGGGACTATATTACATTTCATAGTAGCCCTGAACACGGATATGTTCTCCGGGTAGGAAGGTTACATAACGCTCGGACCTGGGATTGGCCTCAACTAAAATTTCCCAGGTGTAGTGACTGTTTTTGGTGGAAGAGATCAAAGAAGCGAAATGACTTAAATGAAGTCTAAGTACCTCTACGATTTTAGAGTCGTCACCGGTTTCCTATTTCTGACATCTAAGAGGGGTGTAACTTCAATTAACTAAATTTATTACTTTACCGGGACTTTTGTTTCTAATTTTGGTTTCTCTTCCGTGATTGAAAATGTGATTTAAAGGCAGAGACAAATTGTATAACACTACCGTGTTATACTTAATAACCATACATGTACACCCTGGCGCCCACCACGCGTCCTTGTGGTGGCACCGTGCTCTACATGGACATGCATGTGCACGTTGTAGGCACTGTTTACCTAGATGACGGCGGGGGTAACGGGTTAACCTTACAAGTTGTGAGGGTAGGGGATGAGGTAATTAATTATTTTATCGTGGTGACTTGTGAACGTACAGTGTACCAGTACATAGTGTAAACTATTCCCACGTTATAGGTATCATATCAGTGCGTGATCACAGCATACCCCTACATGTCTGCAGCTGGAGATAATCCCCTTCACTTGCCCCTCATGTGACCCCCCCCCCCCCAAAAAAAAAAAAAATGGGCAGGGCTGGCTTTTATTATTATTATTTTTAATTTTATTTAATTGAAAGTATCGAAGGAGATGATAAAATACATGTACGTCAGGTTAATGTAGAATTTCCCCCATGTGTCTTTGAAAACAGGTTTGTAGTTTTTGGTTAGTTTTCTAACATCAAGGACTCGGACAAACTGCCGTTCATTTAATGCTGTTGACCTATTTAAAGTTTACGCTTTAAAAAAGAAGTGCAAAAAACTTAACATGGCAAGCTCTCATTGGTTCACCCTGCTCTAAGTCTAAATTCTTCCGCCTTCCTATTATTTAGACTTTGTCCAATTTTATTGTTTTTCTCAACATGTTATGTACAATATTGTTATGTGATTCATTCAGTACGATATGGCTTTGTTGTGTGGATGATCAAATATAGATAACCAGTTGCGGAAATGCACTCTTCACTTCCGGTACAGGAGAAATATCCTTCCACGGTGTTGTTCGGTCCATGCAACATGCAGGTGTAGTGAAAATGAAGATCAAAGTTTTAATATTGTGTTTTCTTTTACTTGACGTCTTTTCTGTACTTGCCGATGATGAGGCAACGAAGACTGATGATGAACCAGGTAAATGTGCAAGTAATTTATTCTGCATATGTGTTCTTTAAAATTCTAAAACACAGTAAACTGGGAGTCAGAATTTGCCGGTTGCCAAGTTTTCTGCCTTTCCTTGCTCTAGGAAACCGCTTTGACGTGTCGTTACTCGACAGGTGATGGAGTCACAGTATAGTACAATACTGAAAGTGACAGCAGTCAGTTGAACAGTGCTGCGCGTCCCCTGTTCCCGGTGATCTAGCGTGCTAGCCTTTATACGACGCTGCTCACTGCTCTGTGGAGACGTCAGCAAATTGACCACCAGTAGCAATCCAGCAAATTATAGATTTATTTATGAATTTTTGACAGCACGTTTTCTCTGATAAATACTAGAGAGAATCAATTCCGTTTGCAGTAAACTGGACATTTCCTTATGTAGGATTATTTTTTGCATTTCATAAAATCCGTCAACTCCGATACCCGTTACATTGCTAAGTTAAATTAACAGGTATATTGATTATATTGACTCCATATCAGCACACCTGTGAAAAGCCATGTGACCAACGAGCAACTTTATTGGAAGTTTTTGATTTGACCTGTTACCAGTGGTTTACTTAAGATAATTTGTTGTATGTGGCATGTGGTGACTGGAAGAGGACAACCCAACTGGGCAAGTGAAAGGTTGAATCCACATTTGAGAAGGAATACTGATTCCAGTGACATCAAACCACACACTCGTACCAGTGGAGACCACATTTCTTCAAAGGTGTAATTGTTCTTCTGTTTACATTTTGATGCAGATGGTTTTTATTGTTTCTTTCAGAAGAGGGTGAAGACATAGCAGATGATGCAGAGGAAGAGGAGCCCGCTGTCTTCAGTCTGAACGAGAAGAACTTTGATGATGCCATAGCATCTAATGAGATGGTCTTAGTGGAGTTTTTTGCTCCATGGTCAGTACTGTCTCCCATATCATGACTATGATTTGTTCATTTATTTTATTCATTTGATAAATGATTCACCTCTGGGATCATGTTCATATTTGCATGCAATTCAGATAATCTGAAAACATATTAAATGCTGGTAATTTTTAACTGTCCAATTTGTGTTTGGTGCATTCCTAATCCTTTTATTCTATTGTCTTGAAAAAGGAATGTCATGACAAAGACATAATAGTGACAAACGAGCATACAGTAACACCTGTAGCTTCATCTTGTGATGGCGGTTATGCTGTAGATGGCAAACTATTTGAATGGGCAATAATTTTGAATTTAGATGTTATATTGAACAAAGGCAGATTTTTATGTCTTTATCACTGTATATGATCCTGTATTATAAAAACCTGTATCAAGACTTATGATGGAATAAAAACCCATATTTCTGTGACTTTCCCAAGCCTTATGTTCCTGTAGAATAAACATCATTTACAATAATATTCATATTTATAATGTATAATATTTATATTTATTCTGTGTCTGTCTCGTAGGTGTGGTCATTGTAAGAGTCTGGCCCCAGAGTACGAGAAGGCCGCCAAGCGTCTTAAGAACAACGACCCTCCAGTGGTACTGGCGGCAGTGGATGCTACAGTGGAATCAGACCTGGCTCAGAAGTAAGGGACACACAGCTAGTGATTGTTGATTGTCACAATTAACACAATGCTCTGTCACAGCTAACACAATGTTGTTGTCACAGCTAACACAATATTCTGTTGTCACAGCTAACACAATATTCTGTTCTTGTTGTCTCAGGTATGATGTCAGTGGCTATCCTACATTGAAATGGTTCAAGAAAGGTCAGCAGTTTGACTATGATGGACCCAGACATGAGGACGGTAAGGAGAACAGTTTTAAGATTACTTTGACATCAAAATATCTACAATTGGTGAAATTTTAAAGTTTTTTCACCTACACTTCAGTATATTCTTATTTTGTGACTTATGCCTGTATACATGTGAGGCAGTGTACTTCAAAATGATTGATTTGAACAGAAACTTATTAAATCCAGTAGTAAATCCTGATTTAATTTTGTCTATTATTTAATGCATCCAAGCACACAAAATGAATTCAACCGTACAAAAATCAAAAATTGGGAACATGATTAAAATTGATAGTATGTTTCATCCGCTCTTCTCCACTCCATAAGAGAAATAAAAGTAAAATCATTGACCACTGTTTTGTCCAGGCATTGTCCAGTACATGCAGGAGAGAGCTGACCCCAAGTGGAAACCCCCTCCAGAGGCTGTGGTCACTCTGACCAAGGACAACTTCCATGATGTGGTGGACAAGGAGGAGCTTATCTTGGTGGAGTTTTATGCCCCCTGGTGAGCGTTACATGCAGTTGATGATAATGTCATGTCAGTTTTATGGGTTATTTATATTTATATGGGGACAACAGTCATTTTTAACCACTGGATTTTGCTGCTGAAATTTGATAAATGTGCCCCCTGATTTTCAACAGAAAAAAAAATCATAAAAAATTCTCTCTCTCTCTCTCTCCCTCTCTCTCTCTCTCTCTCTCTCTGACACAACATAACATATGCAAACCATAACAAAAATAAGAAGACAAGAAAGCAGGAAACACCTGGAGAAGGTCTTGGGGTGGGCGGCGGTTTTATACACCCTCTATTTATGTGATCTTAACCTGTAGACTAAACTGTAAGTCTACTGAGACTTAAGATAACTCAGTAGTTTTTGTGCATGTGTTAGCTGTTATCTATCCCTTCCTATTTGTATCTCCAGGTGTGGACATTGTAAACGACTTGCCCCGGAGTACGAGCGGGCGGCACAGGACCTGCAGAAGAATGACCCTCCTATCATTCTGGCCAAAGTGGACGCCACAGTGGAGACGGAGCTGGCCAAAGAGTACGGCGTGGAGGGCTATCCCACACTGAAGATGTTCCGCAAGGGGAAAGCTATGGAGTATAAAGGGGAGAGAAACCAGTTTGGTAAGTGACAAAGCTATGGAGTATAAAGTAGAGAGAAACCAGTTTGGTAAGTGGGAAAGCTATGGAGTATAAAGTAGAGAGGAACCTTTGTTGTGTTCTTTGTTTTGTCTGTGATTTTACTTTAAAGGAAAGGCTTGATAACAACTAGAACTTGGTCTGTATATTTGTTTGCAGTGATGTTATATGTTGTGGCCTTTCTATATTCTGACATTTGACCACCTGTGTTTGCTGTTGTCTGTAGGTATTGTAGAATACATGAAGACACATCAAGGTCCTGGCTCCAAGGAAATGAAGACTTTGAAAGAACTGAAAAATTTCATGAGTGAAGATGATGTGACAGTTGTGGGATTTTTCAATAGTGAAGAGGATGAAGTGTACAAAACATACCAGGAGTCATGTAAGTGTGACTGAGTGTGTAGGGTTTGAAGTGAAACCATAGTATATCTGAGAACTCAAGAGTTATTTGAGTGTACAGACTGGCTTGTCTTGGCATTGTGACACCTGGTGGAGGTAACAGTGTTATAACATAGGGTAATATGTAAAATTCAGACATGAGCTTTGGTTGCTGAAATTCCTCAAGGTTATGTGTTGGGTCACATGATAAATGTTCAGAATATATATTTTTTTAATTTGAAACTTAGGCTCCTGTCTTGAAAATAAATACCTGAATTAACAATAATGTGCATTTTTATATCTCATGATAGGTAAAACGGGATGTTTTTGAGAAAGCAACTCTAGCTTGAGAAGTTGTATTCGTAATTGGATATAATCCTGCTTTCAATTAAGAAATCACTTTGTTCTAGGTGATGAGATACGGGAAGACTACAAGTTTGCCCACACTTTTGATGAAGCATCAAGGAACCATTACAAAGTAAATGCAGGTTCCGTGGTGGTCTTCAATGCAGAGAGGTTCTACACCAAATATGAACCCAAGTGGCACATACTGAGTGAGGTAATAGAGCTGTTTCTAAACCAGGGATTTTCCCAGGTTTGGGGGTACAGGCCATTCACAATTACTACCTGTAATTTCCTACAAAAAATTTCAGAGTCCAGGTATGCCTAAAGCCATCATATGTCCCAAAAAATCCATATGTAGTCTAGCCGTCTTTGAAAATATGGGCTGTCTGGTGGTGCTGGCAGCCATCCAAATGTCAGCTGGCTGGTTCACTCGGAAAATCTTTCACATCTGATATGAATGGAGTAGTAAATGAGCTATAAGGATAAGAATTAGAAAATATGTCGATATTTCAAATCTGGTTGCAGCTGCAAAACCCTACTCTGTAGATAAAAGCAGTGGTTATCATTCATAAAATATTTCACATTGATACCTCCTGATGTGCAGTCTAAAACTAACCAAAAAAATAAAGATAAATGAAAATTGACTTTTAGATATGAGTTAAAGGTATAATAGATGGTTCAATATTAATAGCAAATCCTTAATTTATATGCTCCCAGTTGAAAACTTGTCTCTTTGAATATTGTTCATGAAGATCATACCGTCACTTACTGGTAATTAATATCTGCACATCCAGTACATGAATTCTGGTATTAACTCCACAGGTTGCTGATTTAAGGTAAACTAATACCTGTGTTGTTATATTCCAGAAATCTCCATCAGTGAAGGATCTTCAGGCATTCTATGAAAAGCATCAGCTGCCACTGGTAGGTCACATGACCCGTTCACAGGAGTCCAAACGCTGGACAAAGCGCCCTCTATGTGTGATCTACTTCACTGTGGACTGGAGTATTGACCACAGAGATGGTGAGTTTCTGGTCATTTGATACCGTTACAATACCAGGGTGATTAACATGCCCCTTTCCTCCTTTAAGCCATCTTTTCACTGGACAGCGTCCTTTCTGCATTCCATAGTGCGGCCCTGTTTGAGAGTAAAAATAATACTTAACATGCTGACAACTGCCGGATCATTGAGTATTCAGTCTGCAACCAAAGCAATGTTTGTGCCTCCTTTCTACATCCACACCAATGCCAGTTTCATGGCCGCAGAAAGGACGACATCCAGTGTAAAAGGGGTTTTGGCTAATTCCTGTATCTGTCAGAATGTTAGGTATGGTAACGATGTTTGCACATTTGTTTTCACGTTCCTTATTTGTTTGTATTTACCTTATTGTTATAGCTTCAAAGTTTTCAATAGGTAAAATTTATATTACCAAAAAACTGCAACTGTAATAAAGAATGTGTGTTTGTCCACTTCAGTTTTTATATTGACACAACCATATTAGTTTTGTTGGAAGACTGGTTTGACCCCAGCCAAGGACATACCAGTCCTTCATAAACAGTACCTGCTGTCTCCCTGCTTGGCACTCAGCACTTGAAGGGGTTGAAGCAGGGGAAAGTTCCTGGTCTGGCAGTGAAAGATATTGCTATTTTGTTAGTTTTGAGGGCCTGATACAGTAATCAGGCTGTAACACAGGGAGGCGAGAGCATCAGCACCTTATCTGTATTTTGACCCAGAATAACCAGGGGTCCATTGTAAAATTTCACCAAAATTGTATTGAAGTGCAGTATATAAGAGCCAAACTTGACTTTCTTTAAACTTGTGCGTTTTCCAGCCACCAACGCTTGGCGTCTGCGGTTTGCTGACATTGCCAAGGAATACCCTGACATCACATTTGCTGTGGCTGATGAAGAGGATTACAATGGTCATCTGAAAGACTTTCAGCTGGACGACTCTGGTGAGGAGCTGGCCATTGGCTGCTTTGATTCTAAGGGGAAGAGATATGCCATGGAACCCATGGAGGAATATGAGGCAGACGACTTCAAGGAGTTCTTGGATAAATTTCAAAAAGGTTGGTGATAGAAAGATGTAGCTTATTGCTCTGGGAATTTTTTTTTTTTTTTCAAGTGGAAAGCTATTTAACAGAAATGGTAAAAATGTGGAGAAAAGGGTGAAATATTTCTAATTTTTTCATGAAAAGATGTAGACAAAAGGTCAAATGAATGTTGATCAATGTTCAAACCATTTGGTTCTCTCAAAATTTTGTATAAAATAGAAACATCTGCAATAGGTATGTTAATTATTACTATTACAGCCTTGTTTAAACACTAGATTGCAATATTTCGTTTTGTTATGTATTTTAAATCCTTAAAATTAGAGTTAATTAACATAAAATGAATTTCTTATAAGTAAGATTAGACCCTAGATAGTGTTGGAAAGGTCTTTCTAATTCATACTTTCACATTCTTTTTCTCCACCAGGTGCCATCAAGCCCGTGGTGAAGTCCCAGCCTGTAGTTAAACAGAAGGGTCCTGTCAAGGTGGTAGTGGGGAAAAACTTTGAAGAAATTGTCCTGGATAAGAAGAAAGACGTTCTCATTGAGTTGTATGCACCGTGGTGCGGCCATTGTAAAAATTTAGAGCCAAAGTACAAAGAACTGGCCAAAAAGGTGAAGAAAGAGAAAAACTTGGTGATTGCAAAACTTGATGCCACGGCTAACGATGTGCCAACAGAATATGTCGCTGAAGGTTTTCCTACTATTTATTTTGCTCCAGCTAATAATAAAGACAAACCAATAAAATATGAGAGTGGGAATAGAGAGCCAGAAGATTTTATATCATTCATGAAACAGCATGCCTCAGCTGCTTTTAAAAGTGACAAGGATGAACTTTGACCTGATGAACTTGTTTAAGAAGGTCAAGGTCATAAGGCATTAAAAAATTATCTCTGGGTTGCATATTAATATGCTTCAAAATGTTGCCATTCTTGTACCTTCACCAGTTATGATGCATTTAGAGACGTTTCAGTTTTAAGAAGACAGTTTTGAAAAAAGTCTTGTGTGATGTACTAATTTCTTGTGAGGACTTAAAACCAGAGAGAGTAAGTGAGTTGGTCTTTACAGGTGTTTCAAGTTTATTTGCTTATTTATTTAATTTTAATGGTTTATTGTTATTCTTATTTAGTTGTTAGGTTTTATACTATGTCTGGAACTTTTTTTTTTTGTAAGCTCAAATCATGCCAAAAATTGTTTAAGGGGACCAAATATAGTAACTGAAAATTGACATCAGACTGTTTTGTCTGTTCAGCAAAGTTTAATTGTGGGTGTAAAAGCTGCAGAAGTACAGTTTTCCAAGAATTTGGAAGAATTAACTTAGCCAAGGATAAGGAACAATCCTGCTTATTCTATGAACAGTATTTAATACTGCAACCATATTTTATCTTCATGAATAACAGTTGTCACAGCTTTTCATCCATCTACCAAAGTATTAACCTTACCAGCATCAAGGCTTTATTGCTACCTAAGTGACATACTGGCATAGTGAATAAATCATGAGGAAGAAATGGTTTAGGGATAATAACTCTTCGTATGAGATCTATATTTCACAATAAAAACATTGTGAATAACTCATAGAAATATAATATATTCTGTTGTACTACTAAATATGTATAGCTGTTATTCTGATATCTGAGCTTGTCTTTTGACCACGTGACCTCCATTGATGGCTATACTCTGTAAAAATCTCTTAAGAGATTTTAACAAAAAACCAAACTTTTTAGAAAAAACCAGGGACTAACTTTGAATGTAAAAATGGATTTATTAACCATTGGTAAGTATGGGGAAATTGTTGTTTACTCCAGGAAAATTCATTTTTTGGCCGAAACGACGAGTTATTATCCCTTAAATATGCTTTGTAATTAATGTGTGATGGCCATGGCTGACAGTAATGACAGATCAGTTAATTCAGTTTATTACCTTCTTCACTGACCATTGCCTGGGCATGTGATGAATACGTAGAGAATTAAACCGATTAACACCACAGCAGCGCACTGTTATGGAGGGGGGTGCGCTTGTACTTCTTGCTGAAGATAAAAATCGAATATATATACTGTAAATCGAATCATGGCGACACCGTGACGTCTGGACACGCGAGACCGCCGTACTGTTATAGAAATTCTTCGCCCAAATATGTTGTATTTTGTTGTTTTATCATACACAGGCAGTACAGAATAAATACATTTTCCTTTGTCAAAATTTTCACCGAAAGTAAACGTTAAAATTTGCAAATACTCCGTATTGTAGCTGTGTTATGATTAAATAGCAAAATATAACGGGCGTCACGTCTGTGACCACCTGGGCAAGCAGTGTTAGACCAGAAGTATGTGAATGCAGTTGTCAGCGCTCTGTCACTTACTGCAGAAAAATTTGCCCGTCTGGTGAATCTGCCTCAACTATATGACTATATGTTAAAGATATAAAGGCAGTACATGTGAAGTGAAACCGCACCGTGCTATAAATCCACAAACGACGCGTGCGAAATACGCGCCAAGTGTATTTCTGTCTTTTAGCGAGTAGAATTTTTTGCTCAAATCATGGATGTATATGTGTTTCCATGCTCAAATGAAACGGACCGTCACGCGTCAAATTTGACTTTAACTAACAACTTCCACGTGGAGTGTGAGTGAACGGCATCAGGAAGGCTGGGTCGGTGCATATTGTCTCTCTGTGTTATCTGACAGGAAACAAAAGCCATCTTTTGTCCTTGAGATTTAACTGACCTCTGCGACAATTTCAGCCCAGATGACCGGAAAGACAATTAAGCTGATGAATTTTGATAATAGTGGCAGTCACGCGCTGTGTACATTTTGTTGATGTTGTGTACACATGATACAATCACTGGTGTTCTGGGTCATGCCTTAATGATGACTTCATTTACTTTTAGCAGAAACTTTTTGTGACGTCAAACGAAATCTTAAATGGACTTCTTAGGAAATTCATGGACAGAGTAATTCTGCCCATGGTAATATGCAGCTGAGAAAAGATTTATCAGGGTCATTTGTATATAAGATATATCATTGCTAACACTGTTTTAGAGAAAGCAATTCGGTTGAGATATGCCAACTGTTGTACATATTGAACAATGTCGTAGACGCTGGCCCATACAATGAGAGAGCGCACGATACCACATTCAAAAACATACCTTTCAGCTAAGACACATGAATCCGTACGTTCTAGCTTTCAGATAATACAAGATGTTGACAATGCCGCTCTAAACTGCCAATCAAAGACGGGGATAAGGCGCCTGAGGTATATATGGTGTGTGCCGCGTGCCACAACTACCTTGAGCCTACTCGACAGAACACTAAACTGTGCGAGGTCGAACAAACAAGGCACGAAGAAAACAATACCCTAGAAAATAAAGTTTATTCATTTTCCTGAGAAAGCCTCAAATTTGACTGCATTTGCCCTTTGATCCCATTTTACTAAGTCATGTTTCCATGCATTTTGATTACCTATAAAGTTACAGCAATCCTTCGCTACCAGTCATGTGAGTCATTGTAATATTTCCCTGAAATTCCATACAATAATTGATTTCCTCCCCCACCCCTTTTTAAACTCAAAGGATATTGCACTACATCGAAATAAACCACCTCGGGATATGTTTGCCCTGTGAACACCCAGAGATAAAAAATATCGCCATCAAGGGATGGGAAGATAATAGACTTGCATTGCTTGTCCTAGGGTTTCATATGGACCCTTTGCTCCCAATGGGGGATGTGGGATTGTGTAAGATATCCTGGTTGTGAACGTACATATGTAGCTCTAACACTGACAATGTGTATGTAGTTTGTAAAAAACTGCTTTTTTTATGATAGCTTTTTAACAAACTGCTCATAATTTGATTACTTCGCAATAAACTGCTCGTAATATAAACTTTGTAACAAACTGCTCGTAATTTGATGACTTTGTAACAAACTGCTCGTAATATGATTACTTCGTAATAAACTGCTCGTAATATAAACTTTGTAACAAACTGCTCGTAATATAAACTTTGTAACAAACTGCTCGTAATATAAACTTTGTAACAAACTGCTCGTAATTTGATGACTTTTTAATAAACTGCTCGTAATATAAACTTTGTAACGACTGCTCGTAATTTGATTACTTTGTAACAAACTACTCGTAATTTGATTACTTCATAACAACTGCTCGTAATTTGATTACTTTGTAACAAACTGCTCGTAGTTTTATTGCTCCGTAACAAACTGCCCATAATAAGATTACATTGTAACCAACCGCTCGTAATTAGATTACAATCTAACCATTCGCGAGAAAAGTGATTACCTTGTAACAAACAGCTTGTAATTTGATAACTTTGTAACAATCTGCTCGTCACATTTTTACTTTGTAGTACTCTGTTCGCTCTTCTGTAGACATTCCCTGATGCGTGTGCAGCATAATTTATTTTACAGCGACCAGTCGTATTAGCCGATAAAACGTCCCTTCCTCAAATAACGAAGTAATCTTCTATACTCCGCCGGTCATAAACTGCATATCATCAGGGGGTTTGCATGTACCGTACCAACTACGTATATCCTGGGCACTGTAGGATTTCACTGGTTCCGTTGGAGAATGAAGCTTGGCACAAATATCACAATAACCACGAATCCAAGAAGAGACTTGAATGTNAATGTCAGAGAGAGCTCCGTCAGTTAAAATCTCTTAAGAGATTTTAACAAAAAACCGTACGTTCAGGAAAAAAACCCTGGATTAACTTTGAATGCAGGAATGGGGTCGTTGGCCATTGGTAAGTACGGGAAAATTGCCGTTTTTTCCAGGAAAATCCAATTTTTGGCCAAAACGAAGAGTTATTATGACTTTAACTAACAACTTCCACGTGGAGCGTGAGTGAACGGCATCAGGAAGGCTGGGTCGGTGCATATCGTCTCTCTGTGTTATCTGACAGGAAACAAAAGCCACCTTTTGTCCTTGAGATTTAACTGACCTCTGCGACAATTTCAGCCCAGATGACCGGGATGACAAGCTGATGTATTTTTATAATAGTGACAGTCACGCGCTGTGTACATTTTGTTGATGTTGTGTACACACGATAAAATCACTGGTGTTCTGGGTCATGCCTCAATGATGACTTCATTTACTTTTAGCAGAAACTTTTGTAACCTCAAACGAAATCTTACATGGACTTTTTAGAAATACCAGGGGCAGAGTAATTCTGTCCATGGAAATATGCAGCTGAGAAAAGAGATTAGCAGGGTCATTTGTATATACAGGGGTAAAATATGACATTGCTAATACTTTTTAGAGAAAGCAATTCGGTTGAGAGATGCCAACTGTTGTACATATTAAACAATGTCTTAGACGCTGGCTCATTCAATGAGAGAGCGCACGATACCACATTCAAAAACATACCTTTCAGCTAAGACATGAATCCGTATGTTCTAGCTTTCAGATAATACAAGATTGTTGACAATGATGCCGCTCTAAACTACCAATCGAAGACTGGGATAAGGCGCCTGAGGTATGATGTGTGCCGCGCGCCACAAATACCCTGAGCCTACTGGACAGAACCCTAAACCTTGCGAGGTCGAACAAACAAGGCACGAAAAAAAAAAACAAACAAACAATACCCTAGAAAATAAAATTTATTCATCTTCCCGAGATAACCTCAAATTTGACCGCATTTGCCCTTTGATCTCATTTTACTAAGTCATGTTTCCAAGCATTTTGATTACCTAAAATGTTAGAGCAATCCTTTGCTACCAATCATGTGAGTCATTGTTATATTTCCCTGAAATTCCATACAATAATTGATTTCCTCCGTCACCCCTTTTTAAACTCAAAGGATATTGCACTACATCGAAATAAACCACCTCGGAATATTTTTGCCCTGAAAACACCCAGAGATAAAAAAATATTGCCATCAAGGGACGGGAAGATAATAGACTTCCATTGCTTGTCATAGGGTTTCATATGGATCCTTTGCTCCCAACGTGGGATGTGGGATTGTGTAAGATATCCTGTTTGTGAACGTACGTGTAGCACTAACACTGACGATGTGTACGTAGTTTGTAACAAACTGCTTGTTTTATGAAAGCTTTTTAACAAACTGCTCATAATTTGATTACTTCGCAATAAACTGCTCGTTATATAAACATTGTTACAAACTGCTCGTAATTTGATGACTTTGTAACAAACTGCTCTAATTTGATTATTTTGTAACAAACTGCTCCTAATTTTATTACTTCGCAATAAACTGCTCGTTATATAAACATTGTAACAAACTGCTCGTAATTTGATGACTTTGTAACAAACTGCTCGTAATTTGATTATTTTGTAACAAACTGCTAGTAATTTGATTACTTCGTAATAAACTGCTCGTTATATAAAGTTTGTAACAAACTGCTCGTAATTTGATTATTTTGTAACAAACTGCTCGCAATATGATTACTTCGTAATAAACTGCTCGTAATATAAACTTTGTAACAAACTGCTCGTAATTTGATTACTTTGTAACAATCTGCTCGTAATTTGATTATTTTGTAACAAACTGCTTGTAATTTGATTATTTTGTAACAAACTACTCGTAATTTGATTACTTAGTAACAATCTGCTCGTAATATGATTACTTTGTAATGAACTGCTCGTATTATGATTGCATTTTAACAAACTACTCGTATTATAGTTACTTTATAACAACTGCTCGTAATTTGATTACTTTGTAACAAACTGCTCGTAGTTTTACTGCTCCGTAACAAACTGCCCATATTAAGATTACTTTGTAACCAATCACGCGTAAAATATTTACTTTGTAATCAACCGCTCGTAATTAGATTACAATCTAACCATTCGCGCGAAAAATTATTACCTTGTAACAAACAGCTTGTAATTGGATAACTTTGTAACAAACTGCTCGTCACATTTTTACTTTGTAGCACTCTGTTCGCTCTTCTGCAGACATTCCCTGATGCGTGTGCAGCATAATTTATTTTACAGCGACCAGCCGTATTAGCCGATAAAACGTCCCTTCCTCAAATAACGAAGTAATCTTCTATACTCCGCCGGTCATAAACTGCATATCATCAGGGGGTTTGCATGTACCGTACCAACTACGTATATCCTGGGCGCTGTAGGATTTCACTGGTTCCGTTGGAGAGTGAAGCTTGGCACAAATATCACAATAACCACGAATCCAAGAAGAGACTTCAATGTCCGCCTTTGATTGCAACAACTTGGCATATTCAACGTCGTCTTTATCTAGTTCTTTCAGTCTGTATGCCAGCTCTTTGGGAGACTTAAAGTCGTGTGTGTCTATGTGCCAGGATGGAGGGATGCCAAGACGCGAGTAGTTGGCACCTGAACGTGTGACCGGGATAACGTCCAATGGGAGGATTTTATATAATTTTTCTGTGACATAATCCGTGGCAAAACTATTTTCAAAAGAAAGATAAAATTTGTAAGTTTTGTTTAACATATCGTTACATTTAGCTTCCCTGTCGCGTCCACATTTGAATGGCCCGCAACGCCCATAAATGTCCACGCTCATATATTTCTGTAATTCCTTAACATATTCCATACGTTGACTTGGAGCATTACAATTGCTGACTGCCCAGGCCGCTAATTTAGTTTTGCTCTTGGCAACTGATAGAAAATCCCTTTTCTTGGCTTCATCGTGTTTTTTGTCCAGTATGGGAAATCCGTATGGACTGTAGATGTCGCTGTCCTTCCTGTAAGTCATCGTCCAGTTGAACGTCCATTCACTGGATAACTTCGAGTGACATGGACTCTCGTGATTGGTCCATATCCAGCGCGTTTTGGGGTTCCGTTTTTCTGGTTTTTTACCTAACGCCCTACCCATGAAAATGATGGCATCGGCATCATAGGCAGCACTCTTATCCTCCGTCACCTTACAGTTACCCACGGGACACTTCAAATCCTCAAATGAGGTGTGATATCTTTTCAACCCGAGGTAGTTAAAACCAGAAGAACTAGGAATCCAATATAAAATAAGTTTAGCATCCTCTGATGCGTCGGAAATCCTTGTTTCTGGAAACGNCGCAACGCCCATAAATGTCCACGCTCATATATTTCTGTAATTCCTTCACATATTGCATACGTCGACTTTCAGCATTACAATTGCTGACTGCCCAGGCCGCTAATTTAGTTTTGCTCTTGGCAACTGATAGAAAATCCCTTTTCTTGGCTTCATCGTGTTTTTTGTCCAGTATGGGAAATCCGTATGGGCTGTAGATGTCGCTGTCCTTCCTGTAAGTCATCGTCCAGTTGAATGTCCAATCACTGGATAACTTCGAGTGACATGGACTCTCGTGATTGGTCCATATCCACCTTGTTTTGGGGTTCCGTTTTCCTGGTTTTTTACCTAACGCCGGACCCATGAAAATGATGGCATCGGCATCATAGGCAGCACTCTTATCCTCCGTCACCTTACAGTTACCCACGGGACACTTCAAACCCTCGAATGAGGTGTGATATTTTTTCAACCCGAGGTAGTTAAAACCAGAAGAACTAGGAATCCAATATAAAATAAGTTTAGCATCCTCTGATGGCTCTGAAATCCTTGTTTCTGGAAACGTTGGACTTTCCTGAAATCCGTTCTTGTCATGATTTCTGTAGATTGGCTGTGGTAAAATAAACCTTGACACAATTACGGTTTTATAGATTTCTGTTAACAGAAGCATCCCAAAGAGGAGTGACGATACGATGATTGTAATCAAGCCGCTTTGTAACACTATCTTCACATTAATTGTCATGGCTCGACAGAAGATCTACATAAGTACCAGTATGATGAATGCCGCAAATTCCTCAGTTGTTTGTTGTTCGACTTTGTAAAGGGATATTCTTTTAATAGATATGAATTGCTATGATTTGCAATGATTAACAAGCGAAAGTCATCACGTTTGACAAACTAAAACTATAGAGTGAACTGATAATCTTCTCAAATATCCTTTATCCAGAAGATGACAGACTTTTACATAAATCTTTCGTGACGAAGATGTCCTACTATCGAAATAGATGGCAGTCTTTTATATAAATGCTTCTTGACGAAGATGTCCAACTATATTATACATATCACACTGTACGAATTAGGCTTGAGAAGGGTTCAGAGTATACTCATCTGAAAGTAAAAAAAAAAACAACCGATCTTACCTTCCTATTTTACTATCATAACATTAAAAAAGAAAAATATCTAGACGACCTTCACGATACTGATAAAAGAAAAAATTTAAGCCGTTTTCGCACCAGTGGGCATAAACTTCACATTGAAACGGGCAGATATAATAACACTCCTCGTACCGACAGAATATGCCATTACTGTTCTAAAGACAAAATTGAAGACGAAAAACACTTTCTCACAACATGCCCCCTATACAACGACCTGCGCACAATATTATATAAGGTATTTACAAAACACGATACACATTTTGGCCTAAAAACAACTGATGAAAAATTTACTATAATTATGAAATGTCAAGAAAAAGAAACCATTATTGCACTAGCTCAGTTTCTCTCCACCGCTTTTGCTAGGGATCTACAAGACAGTGCTGCACTCATCGGCAATTCAGTAATAGTAGTAATAGTATTTTTTTTTAATAGTAAATAAGTAAATATTCTTACTCATTGTGATTGTTTAATAACATATTCACAAAAATTGTATTCATATTGTCATTTTCATCCACACAAGTGGATGCATATGTTACAGTGAAATAAACTAAACTATAACATTAAACCCGCACACTAATTCCCAAAGATCATCCCTGGTTCCAGTCATTCATATAACTGTTTTTTTTTTCTTAATTTTGTAACTTGTTTTGAAATTTGCACGAAGGTAATGTCCTTTGTACATTCTGCGATATTCAAAAGAAATATGATAAACTTTCATATATGAATATTAATAAGTCATTCCGGAATGACAGTGTTGTTTTAATAATAAAAAGACGCAGCAGTCCCTATCGATTCTGCACAATATAAAATTTGAATCTTATTAATTTGTAATAAGTCTTCATTTCAATACTCTTTTAACACCATTGTTGTCAAGAGCATTAACATCCATTATATTAGAATGATTATGAATATTCTAGTTTTGAATGTGTTGACAAGGTTTTCTTATTTAGTTTTTATAGTTACCGACTTTATATATAATTCATGTGGTTATAATTCTCAGTTATTAATTAACGTTGTATGCAGCGCTTAGACGCATTCGATTATAAAGTGTCATTATTACTTATGTTTAATTTTACATATTACAAGTATTATTCATTATTATTGTATTGTTACTTTAAATTCAAATAATTCATGGACTGCTTATTACTTGACTTGTGAGGAACAGATTGATTTATTCTTAAAACGGTTTTATATAGATATTGTACAATGCACAGTGCTAATCCTCTTAGCATAGAAATGCTGACACCTTGAATGCATTTTTCCACGGATTAGATTCCCATTGACTGAGTATATGTACAGTTCATGATGATGATGATGTGGAACTAAAATTCATGTTGGAATAGATAGGAGTTTGTGATCCCGATATACGCTCAACAAAACCAGTATACGCTGCGGTGTAACCAAATTTAGCTGGATCTGTCATGAATATTTGATGCACGTGTAGGTACTTCGTCAGCTTTAATAGATGAATGGATTATATTAGTTGATTTATGTGCGCGACCTAGCTATCATCTTCCATCTTAATTTTATATTGTGTAATACTTGTATCTGCCTATATATGGTTGTTTCTGCTGATAAATTAACACACACACACACACACACACACACACACACACACGTGCAGGCATTAAATCATGTTTCCATATTTCATTTAACTTCATATTGCATACATAACGTGTAATACTGGTGCTTATACTATCTGCAAGTTAATTATTACTGGAAATAATAAACTATATTGTGGTTGTTACTAATGCTAAATTCACACACACACACACACACACACACACACACACACACAC